CTTTTTTAATACAAACAAATTGTCAAAAATGTCGCTTGATTTTTATGTGCAAATACTTTTCGTGTTAGCTGACGCCGCCCAACAGTTTTCTGACTTTCCTTTCCTATATTTTCGTCTCTTCCAATGGAAAATTATTATTTTAATTTCAATGTAGCAGTAAAGCAAAGTACTTTTACAAACATGCAGAGACATATACATATTTACAAAAATCTAGTTTCAATATACTCAATTCCGGTTCTTTGCATTCTAAAGGCCATGTCATTTTGATTTTAGTCAGAAAGTTCCAAGTTCATAATCCTATTAAATTCGTTACTTTTTTTAATCTGATCAGACGTCACTAGCAACAATGCAATCCGGCAGTGTTTTTTAACATCGTCAAATGAATTTTCATAGCAGCGAAATATATTTCAGTTACTTTTATTGATTTAAGAAAGGACAAATGTAGCGAATGAACTCCGCCCATAGCTCACAGATCAGCACACAGGACCACGGCACACACTGCCGGCCCGGCCGGGTTGCCTCCAAGACAATCGAGCTCAGCAGAGACTCACAACAAATTAAATCCTTAAACCTTGACACGTTTGCATTCGCCTAAGTGTTCAACGTCAATGGTGTCAGTGTGAAGGATACTTGAAGCCCTGAAGTGCGGATGGTGGCTGTGGCTGTGGCTGCGGCTGATGTGCGCAAGCAATGTACGATTTGGGAGTATGGCGCTACAGGGGCGGGTGTGTGTGGAGGGTTGATAAGATTTTGGCCCAGCAATTAAAAACTTAACAACAATGATAATGGCTACAACAACAATAACAGCAAGAATATACTTTCTTCTAATACGGATGATAAGAGCAATAACAGTGGCAATAGAGCAGTGAGTTGAGATAAAAAGGTACAAAAAGAAATATAAAAGTCTTACAGAAATTTTGACAGTTCGCAGTCGCTGCAAGATGAAACCGTTGTATAGAGCCAAGTTCAATTCCGCCCAGAGCAGTACATTGAAAAACATGAGAAACTCTCCCAACTGCATGGGGATATGTAAATATGTACATACTTACGTTTATTTCAATATGATAAATATTATATATGTGTGTGCATATGTACACATACTTGTAAGTATTTATGTAGATGTAATCTGTATATAAACTCTTAAAGTGACTGTGGAAATGCCGACGCATGCAGGTCGTGCGGGTGGGCGGATGTGCGGGCGCGAGGATGTTAAAGAAGTAAAGATATTTTAAATTTATGACAGAATATAAAGTGAGGCGTCTAGGGTAAACTTTTAGGTTATATAAATACGACTATATGCACATTTATTTTACATATATACATATATGTATATGTATATGTATATGTATGTATATATGTATACATTCCCTTGTCTACTTGCCCATCCTTCCGGTGCTTGTGAACATTTCGCATAATTATCATCTACCTGACAACATAACCACATATACACGTACAAAGTGCTGCCGGCCCTGCCCTCGTAGCGAGCACACTAAAGGGAAACATGTTGCAAAAGACTTTTAATTTCCGCTTCCTGCGATGCTTTTGTTCAGATCCTCTCGCACATTGTGGAATGATAACCGTTGGAAAATTGATACAGCCGGCAAGTGACACCAAATGACAAAAGAAAAGCGAAAGCTCCAAAAAGGGAGTGAATTATAATGAGGTTTGGAAGAACTCAAACGAATGTCATGCCAGGACTGGACTGACGACCTTCTTGACTTCTCTTGCAGTTTGTTTGCAACATTTTTTCCTTTTTCATTTCTTTGTTCTTTTTTGTTTTCATTCGTTCTTATTTATGTAGTTTGACTTTTACTTAACAGAGAGAATTTTTAAATTCCTTTCATGTGAACAAAAACAAATTTAATATACCGAAGTGAGTTATCGATGGACGATGGTATTAAAATTCTATGTCCATATGTGGCCCAATTGTCAGTATCATCGGCAGCTGTGACAATGATAGCGTATGGAAATTCACTTTACGACAGTTTTAATTCTCCGTTATTTCCATAAAAGTTTAATCTTCGTGATGACGAGGAAGGTAAGTGTCATCCACACCATTGTCAAGTATGTAAATTTACACTTGCACACATACATACAATACATACGTGCATACACACTGGTAAATGACATGTTGAAAAGCAACAACAACAACTAACTATATTCTAATGCGTTTATTTAAATGCATAAAGGCGCGTAGAACGAGGGATAAGTCTGTCAGTTACCTCAGCTGCGAAGCTCGAACGATTTTGAAGATTTCACACAAACTACGGCTTCCTACCAGAAAGAGTCTATCACGTGATTTCGTACGCTCTTTTTTTCAAAGCTTTTTTTTATTATAATTCATGCACATAAAATGGTAACTTTGGTCCGAAGTATGGAAGTATTGTACAAGAAGGAGAATATCAGAATGAGGAAATACATTGGATGCTTAATGTCCGTCTGTCGGCAAAGCGGTCCCTCAGCCTCTAAGATATTACAATCAAACTTAGTATATTTAAAAAAAGACAGTTTGTCTAAATCGGACAGATCTGATTAATATACATACAAACGACGAATATTTCAGATTGGAGTATTTTGGCCACGAATTTGTCAAAAAAGTATCTAAGAGGCAAAAATTTGGTATCTCATACACATACAATGAATTACACATTGCTAGGGATAATTATCGAAACCGGAAGAATATCACACAGCCATACAACAGATTTGTTCTGATATGAAGTTTTGGATCACAAATCCGCTAAAAAGCAGCGAAAAGCGGGAGATTCGGAATTCCACGTATATATGTACGTTGGGCGGATAATTAGTATTTTTTTTAAATTTGACAGCGATCCTATTAAATGAAAAAAACCTCAAGATAGCGGAGGATAGGTCAGACGACCACTAACGCAAACAGAAATTCGAAATTTCATTCTCTTAGGGTTTTTGAAAAATTTACAGACAATACAAATACTCTGTGAATACCAAATTGAAACGATTGCACGGTTTTTAAAGACTATTTCTAAGTGGTTCCGAACATTCCAGACCGTACATTTTTTCGTAGAGGACGATTCCCGAGATGGTCGGCCAAAATCTTCCATTGATCACGTCACTGTAGCTCTGGTGAAGTACAAAATTGACGAAGATCCACGATTGACACAAGAAATAATTGCTAATGAATTGGACATGACTGCCATGGCTGTACGGCGAATATTAACGGGTGCCACGAATTTTTCAATGAGGCCCAAAAAGAGGCCGAATCTTGTTTGGACTCGGCATCCTACTTACGAATCAAAGTTTCATTAACTGTTACAATGCAATTGCAAATTTCATTCAAATCATCTTGGCACAACTCCAAAAAATCTTTACAATTTTGCAATCGTCGCTGCTTGTCGGGAGGTGGCAGCATTCGAGGTCCCCAACGTGAATTAAGTTTTTTTATAATCAAATTTTCATGCAAAATCTTTCCAACGCGTTCTTTACTGATCTGTAATCCTTCTGCTAACAGCCAGAATTTAATTATTCGAACTGTCAGTACCAAATTGTGAGAATTCCCAGTTTCCGTTAACATAGTGTTTTTGCTTGTTCCATGAACGGAATGTTAATGAACCTAATACAAGAAAATTGTGTTATTTATACTAGTAATGAGACCCGCAATCATTGACTACCTTAAGTCAGCCGCCATTCGTATATGCAAATAAACATGGACACGGAAAATCAATGAAATCGAAGGACAATACCATGTGTAAATCGAAAATCGCTTTAACAGTTACAAGGAGCTAATTTTAAGTATGAACGACTATATGTATATAATATCTCTCCCTTATAAAGAAAGAAAATTTACAGAAAACCTTGTTTAAAAACAAGCTTTTATTTTCAAAAGTTGTATACTCACTGCGACCAAGCTACTCCTCAAAGTTCGAATCAAACGAGCACAAACTGCAAGGGATTGTGTGGTTTAATTACGGAGTTCCTATGTCCGCCTTCCAGCTCCATCATCATCTCAGTTCCATTTCATAAGAATATTGCGTTGTCATCCATTCATCATTTATAGCAATGGGTAGCCGTTGAGTGGATCAAATTTAATTTGTAAGGTTTTACTACAGACGGACAGCGGGACAAGTGAAACTAAATAAAGAATTGTAGAGAGTGCTATAAAAATTTGTTTAATATTTTTTATCATGTATTGTATATTAGAATAAAATAGCTATTAGCTCTGAAATGGGTGTCTGGTTCAGCGTTGCTCCTTAGAAGGCTCGTACATCTTTCCTCTTTAGTCGGGTTTGGCTTGCTGTAGAGATCAAGGGCTCGAATGATTATGCAGCTTGGTTATATGACGATTTCTGTATAATTTTGACAGCGGGTCTGGTTAGATCGTATTATGCCCCATAATTGGATTACAGACATCATATTGATTTTCGAATGGCATTGAGAGTAGCACTGTAGTATTAAGGCTAGGAAAAGGTGCGCCATTTTGCCATTAATTTGAAGTGTGATTCTAATATTTTTGTGGCTATATTGACGTATTGGTGCCGGTTAATTAGGGTAGTATGAACCACTGTTGGGCCATTGCTTTTTCATTTCTAACAGTATCGAAGGGTATAAAAATCCTATAAAGAAATAAAACAGAAGAAAAAATTAGTAATATTAAAAGCTTCTTAAGAATAATCGACACAACAGCGAGCTTAACTTAGATTTTTGATTTTAAATTTTGTATATTAATCCAAGTGGTTTTAAACATTTTTTAACGCTGCTTGCGTGTCTTCACCTGATTTCGTAACCTATTTTCGTATACACATTACGAAGAATGCTTTGGTTTTATTTTAGTTTCGATGAAAAGTATTATTTTTAAATGTCTGATGACAAAAATGTTACTCATATAATGGATTTCTCCCAATTTTTTTAATTTTTAATTACTATCTAAACTCAATGAATGTGTATATACAACTATGTAACATCAATATTTTTACTATTAGTACTTTTTTATCATATCCAACATACATATTAACAAATTGTCTTTACAGGACCGACACATCCAGACAAATGGCAACGCCGAACCGAAAGTAGATCCATCACAAGACTATATTCTCATGTTGGGCTATGAGAATACTACGCATACAGTTTTGAGATTTCGTCGGAAACTAAACACATGCGATGCAATGCACGACATCGCCATCACGGTGAGTACTACATACGAGTACATCTTTATTAAATGTTAATACTAAATTTATAAAGAAAGTAAAACAAAAATTTCAAACCAAATATTTCCGATCTAAAACCACTGAATCTTTCCGTAGGACCGAGTTACGGAACAACAAACTAATGTTCTGTGCTTAATTTAACTCTTTAGAAAGGTGAGAAAATAATGTTGCGAAATTCCCTTTGAGATAAAAAACGCAGACGATTAATTTTATTATTGCTCTTTGGTATAAGGCCGCGAATATTAGCATTGCTCATTTATTCATAGCTTTTATGAGGCAATTTGAGGCGTATGACATTAATGAAGGTCTGATATGTTCTTCCATAAGCCAGCATCCACATTTACTTATAATAAAAGTCCTTTAACCCAATGATGAAAAGTCTAATAGTCCTTTAACCCAATGATGAAATTTCTTCGGAATTCTTTTATTTAACTGTCTTTTTTTCAATCAAACAACTGAAATATATACTGCGAAGATTTCTTATAAAAAGTAGTTGTCAGTTTCGAATGAACAAACAAATTATTTATTAAATTTTTAAACAAAGTTAGTGGGGGGAATTTAAACTTTAGGCCAAAAAAAATACTTAAATAAATATTATATTTATAAGTATTTATCCTTATATTTATAAATATTCTGAGCGTGTTTGAACTCCTTCTAAGCAGTTGGGCCGATTTTAATGAAGCTTAAAATAAATGGATTTCTGGGAATTGGTCCAAGGACCGACATGTTCGAAACACTGCTTTTCTGGGTAGCGGACCAGAGTCGGACTTATTCGAAAAAAGTCGTCCAAGGACTGATCTATTTGAAAAAGTTGGATTTACTAAATTTAATGGCACGCACCGATTTTTATAGAATTCGATTGTATTCAGGAGTGTCATATATTATTCCCCTCCCAGAAAGTTTACCAGTCGACCTACTTGAAAAAAATCGAATTTATATTTAGATTTTAATGAAATTTCGCACATTTTTCCTTTCCAGAGAGTGCACCAGATGTGGATAGATTGAAGTTTAGTTAGGACTGTTAATCATTGCTTAAGTGTTTTCTCCTTAATATATATATACATATATATAATTGACGATCTGTAATCTCTGAAACAATTTTTGGCCGAGCTCCTCCTCTAATTTATGGTTTTGCGCCTTTATGTTTTACCAACAAATCGAGGGACTTATAGTTCATACTAAGCCGTCTCCGAACGGGCGATGGTTTTTTTTATGAGGAGCTTTAATTCATGTCAGAATTACACTCGGAGGGGTTGACATTCCCTGCCGGGTGACGACTCCAATTAGAAAATTTAACTTATTTTCTTATTTGATTTTAGTTAGTTTTCTACCACTTTTTGTATGTTAGTACGACGCCAGGACTTAGGCCTGAGCCTTCCTAATGGCAGTACGGAATGCTAACCACTCGGCTACCGCGGCCGCCCTTTACAATACCAAATATAATAATTAAATAAAAAAGATACTACAACATTTGCCTTTATATAAAAATAATATAGTATTCGTTTAAACTTTAATTTTAAAGGATTTTCCAGTAAGAGGTGTTATTTTGATATTCAAGGAAATTTTCCGGTAAAAGATTGACGGTTTGGTCGCTTGTATGGCACGTAGCGTCATCTTGTTGAAAGTAAACTTGGTCCAGATCAATACCATCCAATTCCGGTCATAAAAAATTATTAATCATCTCTCGATAGTGCAATACATTAATTTTCAAAAAAGTAAGGCCAAATGACAGCGCTGAACCATAAACCGCACCAAATAGTTACACGTTGAGGATGATGCGCCCCAAAAGCGGCAGGTTTGCTTATTGACGTCGGTGACTAAGTCAATAAGCCTCATCAGTCAAGATGTGATTTCAAATAAAAAAATTTCCGCATGTATCGTTTCATTTTTACTACTGAAGTAGTTTCTACTTGCCAAATGTCAAAAAATTACATCTTCAAAAGTGACATCTACCGTAAAGCAGGTTTATTTTGAATCTCATCTCTTCTTGGGAAACTCCTTAAAGGAGTTTTGTTTCCGCATATTCAGTTGTAAGGAATTATGTCATATCTGTAATGAATAAAAATGAATGATAACTTGAGTATTGCAATAATTTTGTTTTAGAAATTAATTAGATAAAAATAAAGCTGACATGGGATAGAGTTTTTGAAAAGAATGCGATTTTTTGTTAAAAAAAATTATGACATAAGCAAATTGTGGGAGTTTATTTAAGATATTTAATAAATGGAAAAAATTAGGTGGCTTCCCGGTTGCTTGAAACGATTAGATAAGATAACACTATGAGTATCAATCTGAAAGAGGAGACAAATAAAAACTTTTACATACATGGTAATGTCAAACAGAGAACGTCTGAGCTAAAGAGCTCCTTGACACAAACATTACCAAATTATTCTTCACTTTACTCTTTATACCAATTTTGGAATATGATTCCCTTGTATGGAATCCACACTATCAATTATTGTATAGTGAAAAAAACATTGGGATGTGAAGAACATTCTCGATCCTTAAATAAAATGTGATGAAGTTTTACTAATCTGCTTGCTCGGAGTTTTAATCTTAACTAAGTTGATTGGAGATTGTATAAATAAGAATTTTAACATCCCTTTGAGATCATATAGACACATTAGACCACTTTCTTTGTATTTATGCAAAACCAATTTGAACTGCTTGACCTTTTTAGGCATTTGTGTATAGTATTCATTCTGTCAATATGAATTCTTCTGGCTCATTTTTGTATATAGAAATATTTACTAAGCGTTTTAACCGTTTCGAGACGACTTTTATTCATAGATGCCTCATGTTTTTTTTTATCAATCAATTGTACTTACCGTATAAACAAATTTATATCTGTCTCTTTTTTAAACGTCCGGTAGAATATTTAAAGTCCTGGGACGAAATTGTATTTTTATACCACATTAAAAATAAAAGTGTGAAAACAAGGTAATAATTAAGATTATTTTTATTATTTATTTTATTTTATTATTATTTTCATTTGCAATATGTCAATTTTACTACTACAGCACTTTTATACAATTTTCTGATAATTTCAGAGGTTGGAAGTAGATTATTATTAATTTTTAAAATACTCCGGAAAAGATTTCACGTGGTTACAAGCTGTCAGCTGTCAAAAATTGAAATTTTTTCCCGCCAAAACTGTCAACATGCAACTACACAAGCATTAAGAACGGGTTGGGATCTGTTTGAACCAATTTCATATGGTTTAAACCGAGCAAAGATTTTTAAGAAAAATTTTGAAATGAAAACCTTCCAGCAATCTCAAAACGGCTAAGCAAGTAGATTGTTTTGAAAAAAAATTGAAGTGTGTTTTGTGGGCCAGTGAATTTTTGTCCAGAAATTCTGGTGTCAAAGTAGTACTTTTCCTGCCCAGTTCGACATTGCACTGCAGGAATAACACACGTGTACATACTCGTATGTATACGTATATTGTTATGTGTACATGCGAGTATGTGCAATTTTACTAATGCGGCTTATGACAGCAACTACTGAAGTGGGTAGTAAAAAATAGTCTCTTGGAAATAGTCTCTTGGAAATGTATTTGCGTGTTTGTTTTGCTTTGAATTAGTAAATGTCGTTGACAGGTCTACAATTTGGATTTCATTAACCTCTTAAGTACACTTAAAATATCTTTATACAAAATGATATGAGTATACGTGTATATATCCACACAGTACATATGTACATCCATATTATATATATGAGTATATACATCCACACAGCCATACAAGCGGCCCGAATTGCTATTTGCTTTCAATACATTCTCATATTCACGTTTATTTTGACACCGGCGCATGCAAAGGCAGAGTGATAAAACTTTTATGTATCACGCAAATCTTTGGCTAAAACTTTCGAATTGCTAAATAAACTTACACACTTTTGCACCCACATAAAGATTCAATGACACCAAGCACAAAGCTTGCTCTTCCCAATTTGTGCGAATGAAGATGTAAACTAAACAAAACGATTATACGAGTGTATTAAATGTTAAAATCACATAACTAAACAATTGGAAATTCCTCCAAAATCAATGAGACATAGATAAGGTTCTACAAGCAATTTGATTGCATACGAATTCACGGTATTTCTTTCGCTTTAAAAAGACAACATTGCAGAAGCTAAACCCTTAAAATTCTATTCTATAAATTTGGACTTTTGAATGGTGAATATATATATTGAAAAATGTACAGTTATGACTGTTTTATGTTTAGTGTGAATGTATCTAAGTAAAAGTTTATGTAGTTGTATTGAGTATCAGTGACAGTTGCCCAATACTCGTACAACTGGAAATAAACTTACTTAGTCAAACAAACACAATTGTGATTATAAGTATACAAACAATGTTATAGCCTAAATTACACATCAACAGCCAGCAGATTGGCTGCCATTCCCTATACTTTCGTCCTCTGCCAGTCCTTGTTACAAGTGAGTTAGGAACTTAACCGCATACATACATACATACAGTATGCTTGTAAGCATGCACTTGATACTTCAAACGGTATCCTTTGGTGTGGATTTCTCCCACTCGCGGTCTTTCATTCGCCATATTTGTCTGTCGAATTAATTTGAGTCAGTCGCGACATCCTTGTAAATACTTGTGTATTTGTTGCCGCAATCTGAAACTGATATCTGATATAACCACGTTATGGCGCGCGGAGGTAGACGACATACATAAGTTTTAATGAATTTCTTCTTAAGTTCAGCAGACTGGCGTACTAAATGCGACGGGTTTCTCTAGTGCTAGCGAGCATTATATTGTCTTAACTTATTTACTAAATACACACTTGTTATGTAACTAACTTAATCCGAATAAAAACTCACCCAGTAGGGTTGTAATTTGTAATATTGGTTAACCCTAAGTGATGTTTCCTTTTTATTTCGATACAAGTTTCTTAGATATTTGCGTTAATACATATGTATCAAAATATATTTAAAAGCTGTTTATACAGTTTATACGAGATATG